CTAGAACTACGTAGTCTTGATTTCCCTATTGCACCTAAAAGGATACGTATGAGCAATATATTATCTTGTCAACCACAAAAATAAAAAATAAATTATTTTGTTTCAATTATTAAATGTTTAAATAAATTAGTAAGGGTATAAAAGTTTATGTTATTAGCGAATGTACCATTTTAATACGGGTAGACGGGGTGCTAATAACTTCCCCAATCCGTAATCGACTTCCGAATTCATAACTCTGATTAAAAAGACCATTTTTATCCAATTTGGGTTCAATTCAAGTTTTCCATATTTTTACCGTAAAAACATGGTGGCGACTCTCAAAGAGGTCGCGTGGCTAAAAATCCGGGCACCACAAATATTACTAGTGGAAATGTCCCTGTTGTCCAAAGAAAAAGGATATGTGCCATCGTTAGAATCCAACCGAGCCAAGTTCAGAATATCTTGTGCGTTATCCGAGGAGCCTATCACCCACCTTGCCAAACTCCCAGATGGATTTAGCATATGTAAGATTGAGGTCACTTCTAACAAGAGCGCCCACCGAACCAGTGGAACTAATCGGAATTGCAGGCCCACCGAGATCAATCCAAAAGTCAATTCCTCCTTCATTCGAACTAGTATTGGACGCCCAAGAGATATTAGGACAAGGAGGCTTAGGACAGTTAGAGTGCTTGGGGGAGGAAGAAGATGAAGGTAAAGAGTTAAAAGTGGAGGATGGCAGAGAAGAATTCTTCCGGGTGCGGTAGGTGAATGTAGGAGATTGGCTGGTTTTCTGTTTGGGTTTTTTTGTTTGTTTGTGCGGCTTGGTCTTGGTCAACAATGGTGGTAGTGTTAACAATGGTGAAAGTGATGATTGTTATAGTTAACATTTAAATATGTAATTTTGTTCAACTTATATAAAAGAAAGAAAGAGAAAATAAAAAGAGAGAAAATAAATAAGTTTAAGAAAAAATAATGAATAATTTTGACAAGTAAGTTTTGATTTGCGAAGAAAATCAGAAAGTATGGGAAGAAAATATGATTATTTAGTGCTTTTGAGGTTAGAGACATGTTAATTATTAGCCTATCTCATTTTAAAACCAATAACTTACTTTCTTATGATTTTTTATATTTAAAACCCAATTAAAATAATGATGGTTTGGAAAATTAAATAAATATATCTAGGGATTCTTATCTTATTTTGTACATGCAAGAGAAAATTAATAAGTTTTGGAAATAAAATCAAATATGACTTAATAGACATATAATGAGTTTAATCTATAAATAGGAATTCAAGACACATATCAAGATAATATATTTTTCCTCACCTTTTTGCCTTTCTCGACATTCTCTTTTGTGTTTTCATGTTTTTTAGTGTAGTGCAGGAACCATCATAATCTCTAGTCACTCCATTTTTCTGCAAATTCCGTGTGGCAATAAGCTCCATTATTGGGATGAGTATTCTTCAGTAATAGAGATGAGAATGCATAAAAAAGTTTAGATGATTTATTATTATTACTCTTTAGATATAATTAGATGACATTGTTACCTTAGATGTACACACAAAAATAACAACTTGTCTCTTCAGTATTGGTAATGAGTCTTTCCCCCATTATCATGCCTTGAACCACATGCATCTAATCTCAAATCAAACCCTAAATGAGGTTCATTTCGATATATTAGAGTAGAGAAACATAACTAAAAGAGTGAGAAGAGGAACATCAAAGTGAAGAGAGTGAATTTTTTTGAAAAAGTGAGAAGAAGAGACTTTGAGTAAGGGTGAAAGTGAGGTTGAAGGCAAGGTTGGGATGAGGAGGTGAAGAGGTGAGGGTCAGAGTGAGTGGGTGAGGAGGTGAAGATGTGAGTGACAGTGAGAGATATATTGTAATTGTAATGTTAAGAAAAATAAAAAAATTAGTAAAAGACAACGGTTTTTAGTATATACAAATAGACAATGGTTTTAAAACCGTGGTCCAATAGTAGAATTGGCAACGGTTTATACTAATGAATAGGCAACGATTTTAAAACCGTTGTCTTAAAGTACAATAAGCCACAGTTTTAAAATAATATCAAAAATCGTGGTCTAATACAATGAATAGGCAACGGTTTTGAAACTGTTGTCTAATATATTCTAAGACCACGGTTTTAAAACCGTTGGCGGTGGAGGCGTTGCCATAGGCCAAAAATGTTGTAGTGGAAAATAAGAGGAAAGAAAACTTAATAAATAAAAGTTGGAGGAAAGAAAAACAATAGAAAGTAGAATGATTTTTTAGTTGTTTGGTATGAAAGAAAAAGATAGAATAGAGTGGAAAGAAAATATATGATGAGAGAAAATGACATAAATGTCCATAATTAAAGAGATGCAAACATTAACATACAAATATTCACTTTTATTTTAGAATTAAATATTTCTAGTATAAAAAATATTTATATTACAATTAATTAATTAATTAAAACATTATTGATACAAATTTCAAGGTCACTCAATCGATTATGTTTATTTATTCCACACCATACTACATCATCCATAATTTTATGGGTAAGATTGTAATTCTACATTGATAGTTGATTTCTCACCACTTTCTCTCCATAATGGGTGTAAATATTTTTTGTGGGAACGACAAACTATTTTTATTTCCATATTATTTTTCTTTGCTAATGAAATGAGAGAAAACCTATATATCCATCCATTTTCTCCTCTATCCTTTTCTTTCCTCTCATTTTCAATGGAAGGCCTAACTCATTGTCAACATTGGACAATTTAGTTCTAGGATCTTTTATATGTCTTCATTTATTGATTATTATTATTACTCTCTCATTTCATTTCATTTTTATTTGTTGTTTATTTAACAATTAATTGTTTATTAATTTTTGGGTTTATTTTAATATATATATATATAATCAATATAATGATTGAAAAATTATGTAATTGAATATAGTAATTAAATATTAAAATGTAGTTTTTTATGTAATTGGTCCATGTACTGTTTAATAATAATTTTATGTTTGTAAGCAATAGATGGTGAACTAAAATAATTTAATAAAACATATGGTGTAAGAATGAATAATTAATAATAGGAAAAATAACTAATAATTTTTTTTATAATAATTAAGTGTGAACTTTTTTTGTAATAAATTACGTTAAAGATGGAGGAATGTTCGTGATGAATACTTATAAAAATGTAAATAATAATTTCTCATAAGGATGCATGAAGATTCGTGATGAGTTGCTTCTTCTTCTCAAATCATCATTTGAACGATCGTGACACGTTAATTTTATTTTTTTATTACAATTTATGTCTTTTTAAAATATAAAATAATAGTTCACATGGCCAATGAAGGAAATGTCCTAATAATTTAATTATTTTCCTCAATTCACCATTTGAATGTCATCATACATTACTTATATTATCTAAAATTCTTTTCCATAAAGATATAAAAAATAATAATTTTCATTAAGGAAAAAAAGAGTGTTATTAGGATTCACATTTTTCCTCAACTCCTCCATTGAGCAATCTTGATTCATTAGTCCGGTTCTTTAAATTAATTAAAATTCATTCAAATTATTAAACAATATTTTACACAGAACTACGTAGTATGAATTTTCTCATTGCATCTTAGGATACGTAGAAGCAAGAGAAAATCTTATGAGACACATGAAAAAATAAATTTTAAGTTTTGTAAATAATTCAATAATTAAAATAAATAAAAAAATTGGATATATATCGGTCCATGCGATTAACGAGGGTATAATCTTAGTATAGGCGTACAAGGTGTTAAAGTATGTTTTGGTCTATAATCAACTCCCAAACTTCTGAAATCTGACTTGAAGACCAACACTTTCAAAAGTTGGGCATTAGAGGTTTTTTTTTGTGTTTTGTCCTATAACAAATGTGTAGCGACTCCAATTCTTTTGGAAATAATTGGCAATTTGGGAAAGCCCATGGGACCCGTCCACTCGCATTTATTGGATGACAAGACATGAAAAATGTGCTCATTTGCTCTAAAATGTCCGTCCAACATGCCCTTTTGTAAAGTGAATTATTTTGTTATATATACATTTGTATATCAATTGTAAGAAATTATTATCATTTTCTTATTATATATATGCATTTGTATTTTGTATGTTATATATATGTATATGTATTATTCCTTTTGTATGTAAATTATGGACTATGCATATTTTGTATTATATATATGCATTTATATTTTTGTGTGTATTTGTTTCATTTGTATGATTGTAAATTATTATAAATACATTTTTATATTTATTACAAATTATGTATTCTTTGTTTTGTATGAAATGTATATAAATTTGTATATTTATATATATATATATATATATAGTTTTATTTAGAGCGGTTCGCAAGTCTGTCACGCATATGTTTAGGGCGAACAATGTATAATATTTCATACCCTATTTAAAAATAGGCATGCTCATGTCTACCCTAATTTAGACGAGTATTGTGTGGGCACAAGCATGACAGACATGACAACCCTAATTGCACATCATGATAAGGTCGACTAACAGAAAAAGGTCTCCAATTAACTTTTTTTATTTTAGAAACTCATTTTTTATGTTCTCCTAATAAAAATCTTATGCGTGAGCCAATTTTTTTTTTAAAACGACACGTGGAAGTTGTGTTGATCAATCACAACTTTTATGTGGGATTTAAAATAATTTCAAACAATTACACGCAAAAATCATGATGTGCGACCATGACTTATGTGTAACCCAAGTTTTCTTATTTTGCCACTAGAAATTCGTGATAGGTCAACATGATTTCTTGTGATACATTTTTATTTTCCCACTCAATAATTGTGTTAGGTCTATACGACTTATGAATGACTCAATTTTATCATTTCTAATTGATAAGTTATAACAGGCCAACATGACTTTTGAGTGATACAAATTTTATTTTTTATTTTTCCACTCAGAAGTTGTATGGGACCTAAACGACTTTTTCTGAATGACTATTTTTAAAGTTTTGATAAATATTTTAAACATAACACAAAAATGACACCATTGTTTTAGTCCAGTGGCTAGGATAATTGGTTTTTACCCAAGGAACATGAGTTTGATTCTGAACAATGAATGAATGATTTTATTTCTTTTTTAATGTGAGATTTTAAAAGAGAGAAAAGGTAGGAAATAAAATAGGAAAGGCTTATACCACTACCCTAAACATATTCATATTGCAAACTTTTAATATTTACCATGGAATCATTTTGGTCATTCATTATATCATATCTATTAACTTTAATATTAATAGTAAGGTTACAACTGAATATTTTGTTATAATAATAATGTTATTATAATGTTAATATTTTGATAAAAAAATCTACTTGGACCATTATTGTTATCCAGTAACTTGACCTTTCCATTTCAAATTTCATATTGATTTTTTTTTTCCTTTTTACTAGCAATTATATTTATACAATAGATGAGATAATAAAATATTTTTTTTGTGATAATAATAAATTTGATGGTAAATTATGATTTATACGATAAATTGGAATTTCACTCTACTTGCTAATATTAGTTTTATTTGGTATATTATAATTCATTCACTTGTCAGATTTTGTGCTGAAATATTTACAAACAAAAACAACGAGAGACTGTGGCTTTAGAAAAGCTACTATGAACATATTTTAGAAACTTATAAGCTCGTGATGCAAACAACCAATAATAAATTTTTCATTCACTTTTATACTTAAATTTTTCATCAAATGTTAGTTTTACTCCAACAAATATATAATATGTGATGTCCCTTAAGCTATTTAAAACTGATATTAGTCAAAGTTTTATCTTTTGTTCCATCATTCAATGCATAATAGTTTTAATATTTATGTATTTTTAGAAACCATATCCATTGGAGGTACTATTTTAGCCCGAAACAACCACAAGATGGCAAGGGTAACTATCCTAGTGATTTTTTTTACATAAGTGATATTGGATCTAAATTTTTTGCTTATGGGGAAGCATGCATGTAGTACTTAGAAGAATCACCCATTGCGAATATTTATGTATTTTGAATCAAAATAATGTTTTTGTTAATGAATGGCTTCTCCTGGTCCTATACGTGAGGATCAACTCGATGGCTTCTCCTCTTAGCTAGCTAGTGTTACTTTCGAAAATCGAACATTGACTTTTGGCCTTGTACAATTTATAAGGATCTAATAAAGTTTTAAACCTGTAGACTAACTCCTTGTTTTCGTAAATAGATTGCGTATTTTGAGTAAAAATAGTTTAAAATTTATTATACTAATTACTTTAATTAATATATTTTATTATCATTATGAATTATTATGCATGAGTTGATTAGCCCATTTTCTCCTTTAGATCTTGGAATTAAGGATATGTAGAATCATTAAAAAAGATAATTGTGTGCTTTTATTAAGTTCATATTTATTGTATTTGTTCATATTTATCTGTTTCATTCAATGTTACCAGATTTGATTACTCCTTTCACAATAAAAGAAAAAAATTATACTCTATTATCACATTTACTATATAAATATAATTGCTAGTAAAAAGAGGCTGAATAACTTCAAGTTTCAAATTGAATTTATTTGATAATAATAACGGGTGAATTGATTTTAATCAAAATATTAATATTAAATTATTAAAATTATATTATACTAATTTAATATACTCAGTGAGAATCCTGATTAATTAAGTTAACATAAGTACAATCAAGGATCAAGTGGTTTGAAGGGGAAATGTTCAAAGTTAATATTGTAAAAATATCCTATTAAAAATAAATTAAAAAAAGAAATAAACCCACCCATTCCTACTCCATAAGCAAAAATATCCTATCTCCAATCTCGCCTATGTAAAAATACTACTAGTAGAACTAGCCCTAACATCTAATGGATGTTTCAGGCTTGAACATAATTATCTCTAATGGATGTGGCATCAACTATTATTTATTAAATGATCAACAATAATTTGAACGATAGATAAAACATTAACTAATATTGATGGAGTAAAATTATCCATTGTATAAAAATTAAGTATAAAAGTGAATGAAAAAATTATTATTGTCTACTACCATATATGTTTTGAAAATCTCCTTATAGTAGCTTTTCTAAAGCTACAGCCTCCCAATATTTTTGTTTCATAAACATTTCAACACAAAATCTTACAAGTATATGAATCATAATTTACTAAATAAAGCTAGTATTGTCAGGTAGAGTGAAATTCCAATTTATCATGGTAATTATAATTTATTGCAAAAAAAATTATATTTTACTATCTCATTTATTGTATAAAAGTAATTGCTAATCAAAATAAAAAAAGTTAACATGAAATTTCAAATTGAAAAGGTCAAGGTAGTTGGTAATAATAATGATCAAAGTATTTTTTTCTATCAAAATATCAATATTAAAATCATAATCTTACTATTAATATTAAAGTATTTATATATAGTGAATGATGAAGTGGTTTGGTGGTAAATGTTGAAATTTTTTATGTTGTGATTATGTTTAGGTTAGTTATTCAATTCTTATTTATTGTGTATCCTACTTTTCTTCGTAAAAATCTCATATTCAAAACAAATAAAATTATCCAATGTTGGGAATCAAACCAATGCTCAATGGGTAAAAACCAATTATTCTATCCACTAGACCAGAATAACTCATACATCATAGTTTTTAATATATTTAATAATAATTTTAAATGGGCCGGTCAAAAGTCGTATTTGCCCAATGCACCTTCTGATTTGGCCACTCAAAATTTTTGTAGGTCCAACATGACTTATGAGTAGAAAATAAGAAAATAATTGTGTCACTCAGAAGTCGTGTTGGAACATCACGACTTTGGAGTAAAGTAAGAAACATCGGCCACACAGAAGTTGTGGTGGCTCATCACGACTTTTGTGTGTTGTTTGAAATTATTTTAATTGTCACCAGAAGTCGTGATGGACCAACGCAACATCTGTATGTCGTTGTTAAAGCAAATAGGTACACATAAGTGGTGCTAATTCGTCACGACTTCTGCATACAAGTTTAACTCATGGTATTAAGGGTTCTCGGTCAAAATTTAATCAATAATATTTAAAGACTTTTAATGGGAAAGATATATTAAAGTTCACATATGTGCGAACTAATTACTCCTATGCAATTTAGACTCACTAAGCCCCATTGATTTTATGGTGAATGGAGCCTCGAAAGTCTGGAAAGTTTAATGTGAGTGCTGATGGGAAATTCAACACAATCTATAACAAAACAATATGCAGCGGATAATAATTTCCACTACTTGCAAGAATCTATGAGGAGCAATCAACAAATATGGCAGCAACTAAAAATCACAAACACAAAGAGACACACAATTTTGACGTGGAAAAACCTTCTTAACGTGAGAAGTAAACAACCACAGACACAAACCAGTAATAGAGCTCCACTATAATCAAATCAGGTTACAAGAGAGTCTCAAGATGTAGCACAACTCGTGCTCAACAAGTGTACAAAGCAATAGAGCAATAAACTTGAAAAGGAGAACAATGAAGAACCGAAAATCCTTTCTTCTCTTCTCTCTCACTTTTCTCTTGCCTCTCTTTTTGCCTCTCCTACTTTTCTCTTACCTCTCTTCCTAAAATTAGACATATCTCTTGACCTAATTAAGTGATACCAATGAGCATGCTCATATTGGGCCTTTCTCCACATAGGAATGGAGCCCAAAACCCCAACAAATCTCCCCCTCACAACTATGTGGAGGTGACCACCAAACTGGCGATCTCACATCAAGTCTCAAACTTGCATCTAGGCAATGCCTTAGTCATCATATCATCACCATTATCATCTGTATGAACTTTGGCCAATTCCAACAACCTAGCATCCAATGCATCACGTATCCAATGATACCTCACATCAATATGCTTGGACCTAGAATGAAATGTTGAATTTTTACTGAGATGAATTGCACTCTGACTATCACAAAATAGCAAGTATTTGTCATGCCCAAGACCAAGCTGTAACGACCCGATTTTATAACCCAAAATTTTTTAAAACTTTATTAAATTTAAATATTAGTTAAGTTTCCCAATTCAAAATGCGGAAATAATCAATAATACCTTTTCATCAAAAACATGACATCACATTCTATTTTAATCCATAATTCATACAATTATCCTTTGTTTCAATTACAACACTGATTAAGGTAATCATGCTAATCTTATTACATCTTTTGAAAGATATCATTTATACTACATAGTTACTTCAACATATTCCTCATATTACGTACATTATACAAATATAATTTCGGAATACAAAAACGACTACTCCAGTCTACACTCCCATCAGCAAACATCCACGACGCAACAACAACATCCTGAACTCACATATAACACATAGACAAGGAAAGCAGAGGGAGTAAGAACCAACTACGGCGACCGTAGCATGGAATTACATGTAGTAATATCATTAAAGTATAACAACTTATACAATCATCTAAAATCAATCATAGTAAACATATACCATTTATGTACCAGTCAATACCTTAAACCACATAATGTTCACATATTCAATCGGTATAATCATTACATTTCACTTAGACAATTCAACACATCAGTACAACAAACGATAGGATATTTACTTCTTCAATTAACAACCTTTACAATTTACTTACACATTTTATCCAATTCCATCTTCATCAATATTCCTATTACCATAGTTACTCACAAATACCCAATGATACTCCCATACCCGAAGGCGATACACTAATGTCAAAGCAATACAACACTTCTAAAACAATACAATACTCCTACGACAACCCAATACCACAAAGGGCCAATCAAATCCATAGCACAAAAGCAGGTAACATCCATACCACGAAGGCAGGTCCAAATCCATACCACGAAGGCAGGTCAAAATCCATACCACGAAGGCAGGTCCAAATCCATACCACGAAGGCAGGTCAAAACCCATACCACGAAGGCAGGTCAAATTCCATACCACGGAGGGTAGGTCTAAATTCCATACCACGAAGGGCAGGTCACAATTCCATACCACGAAGGGCAGGTCTAAATCCCATACCACGAAGGGCAGGTTACAATTCCATACCACGAAGGGCAGGTCACAATTCCATACCACGAA